AGTGTGTTTACATTGAAAGTGAAAGTAGAATCGAACAAATTGGAAACAAGGGCAGATAATTATAAAAGCACAAGGTGTAATGACAGTGGAGGATTGGGACACGATTTCTTTGTGTTCTTGTTCTTTGTTGCTTCCAGCTCAAGTTTCATTCCAGCAGTTTATTCAAACGTGATTACTGGTAAATTAAATGATATTAGAAACAATCAGAGAGATCTTTTGATTAAAACCGAAAGTAGAAAAAAACGTATCTGATAATAAACATTTTAGAGCATGACTATGGAGTTTGCAAGTCAAATATTTTTACGGTGTAAAATAATGTTAACTTTATATATAACAGGGTTTGTAACAATATACATGTATTATGTCATTACATACCAATTCTTAACCTGTTTCAGTGTTACCTCGAATACATTTCAATTTTTAACCCGGCCATAACATACAAATGAATTTTAAAAATTTAAAAATATACTTCAGAAACAAGTGCCTGCACGGTTGTAAGGTGGTACGAGATTTCATTTTTCTTTCACATCCCACTAAATAAGACAATGCCCTTCATAACTACAAAACTTAAGTGCCCCCCCCCCCCAAAAAAAAAAAAAAACCCAAAATAAACAGAAACCTATAGGCTATAGCAGGAACTCTGGACTTAACTAAAAAAAATAATAAGCTGATTGTAAAATCTTACAAAACTTTTGTTTCTGTAAAAATTTGCATAAAGATATCTTTTTTAAATTGTTTTCAAAAAAGATTAAAACTAATTTTCAAAGTAATAAAAAATTAAAGTTTTGTGCATAATATTTAGATTTGCATCATATTTATTTTGTTTCTTTTTAAATGAGTCTATTGTTTGGATACATCCCAAAAGCGAACACTCATTTCAAGTTGCATAAAGTGCAAATGCTTGAAAAAAGTACCGGCACATAAAATTTTATTTTATATATACATGAAAATAACTTAAAACACATTTCTTGAAAAAATTGTTTTAAATTTAGATGGGTGGTTGTATTAAAGGCATTTTTAATTTGATGGGTGGTGGGGGAGAAAGCAATTAAAAATGTATGGGTGGTGAGGTAAAAATAAAAGTGCCTTCCACCCCCCCCCCCATACATTTTTTCTGGAATAGCCCTCATATCAAATGTACATTTTTTTTTATTGTTTGTATATTCTTTTTTTCAGTTTTTGTTATTTCAAAGCCACCATTGGAAAGTTCAAACAGAAAGGAACAAGGTAAAATATACTCCTAGAATATATTATATACACTACTAAGTCAAAAACGTACTGACATTCCCATTTTTTACTGACAAACTTAGAAAATTACTGACATTGTGCTGTCGTTACTGTAAAACTTAGACAATTACTGACCTTTTTACTGCCGGTACTGATAAACTTAGAAAAGTGCTAACAATCTTAGTCGGTGCTGATAAACTTAGACAATTACTGACCCGTTTACTGTCCCTGCTGAAAAACTTAGACAAGTGCTGACATTTACTGATAATTACTGTCCCTATTGTTCTCGCTCTCGGGGAGGCTGCAGTGGTGTGAAATTGATTTTTTTTTTATTTTAACATAGATTATTATTTGTTTTTTCATATAATTTTTAACTATGTCTAGATAATATCTTTGAAAAAAAAGCTTCTTTGATCTATTTATACAAAATTGATTTGTAACAAAAAATATTTTCAAGAGAAGGGATAAAATTTCAATACCTTCAAAAAGATAAGCAATGTAAAACAAAATAAAAATCTTCCTTTAGTAGTGAGATATGAAATTTTACAGAGGTCTTTTCCTTTTTATAATAAAACAATGTTATTACTTGACATGCATTTTATAATATTTTCTTAATAAACATTGACTCCCTGACTTTCTTTAATGTTAATTTGAAGAATTAAACTGTTAGGTTAGATGTGTTTTGTTCAATTTTAATTCAATTTATTCAAATTAGTTTGAATAATTTCAATAAACTCATAGCGCGCGGTGAGGCCCTGGGTGTCCCCTTTTGAGGAAAGGCGTTTGTTATAGTTTTCATATTATGTAAAAATTTTAATGATGTGGAGGCCGCCCATATTTGTTTTTTGTGCAGTCAAACATACCCGAATCCAAGCATTTGCAAGAAGAAACCAAAATTAAAAGACAGACGGGGGATTTACATTAAAAAAAACAAGACTTATTATTTTATTCATTGGGGAGGGGGGCTACGGGCCTACATTGATCATTGATCCTTTGATATTCATTGATTTAGTTACTGTCCGCATTATTCTTTTGAAATAATGTACATCTTTTAGCTGATTTTCGAATCTGGATTTTCTGAAAGTGATCCCCACCTGGAAGTGTTATATTATCTATTCAAATAAATAAAAAACTATGACATTTTATATTATCATCTTTTGTCTATGCATACTCCTGAAACAAAACTTTGATAGAAATTTATTTGAATGTTCTTTTCAATTAGAGTGTAAAAACTGGTAGACGTTCACATGGAATCTAATTTCTTGACATTTTTGTCTTTTCAAATTAAAATGGGGGGGGGGGGACGAACTAAATGGGGTAAAAAACACGTGCAAACTAAATGAAGAACGATGAACATGTACTTATTTCACAATTTTAATCAAAAGTCAATGAACACACATAATAATTAAGGCCTTCCGAAAGATAATTAAGTTTACTGTCTTTTGATGTGTTTAAGTTTGTACTCCTTTTTATCTGTTTAGGTAAAAAAAAATTAATAAATTTAATAAACTTTTAATAAATCGGCGTTTCATAGCTTTGTTCGGTATTGAAACCAGTATCATGATTTTACAGTAACACTGTGCTTTTTATTCGTCCAAAATTATTCAAGTCGTTTAGCTGGTATCCAGCCGAATTACATAATCATTCAACATACAATCGGAAACTCTGTGAAGCACCTGTGTGTAGAAGAAATCGCCTGAGGCGATCCGAGTGTGTACGGTAGCGGGTAAAGAAGACAATAGGTGTCACTGCCGTATTATACAGAAGAACACTCGCCGGATTTTACTGGAAGTTAGTTACGCAACATTACGGCGACAGGTAGACTCTTCTTCAAGACAGTTTGAATTTGAGAAATTCAACACCAACACATACGTAATATAAATATGCAATCTACAATCCTTCAACCTCTTCTTAGATTAAATAAATATTTTTTTTTAATATACCGACGTAAGATAAAATTAACGATTAATGAAAAAGAAGATTGATGTAAAAACCAACCGGGGAAAGGCACAAATTGTTTAAAGATTTAAGCAAAAATAAATATATGAGAAGGGGTACATTACATCCAAAGTTTTGTAAAAATTACTGGTTCCTAATATTTTTTGTTAAGTCGTGTTAGTGTGTGTGTGGGACAGTGGAGTGAGGAATTTGTTTGATTATCAATCAAATAAAAATAGTTCATAGTATATTTCCAATTAAAAAATCAAACACAATTTAGCAGTATTATGACAATAAAAAAAAATCAGCCGAGGTTTAACTATACATGTATTTTAAACTTTGCCTGGGTCGATATTGATTTTTTGGAGAAAGAGAGAGAGAGAGAGAGAGAGAGATCTCGTCACGGATGATAGCGGGAACCTACAGTTAGGCGAACAATCTTAATCTTATGAAAAGGAAAGATGTTAATGAAACCTGAATCAAATAAATAATGATTATGGGACGTGTATAAGTTGATCAAATGAACAAAGAAAGCATCATTCAAAAAACTTACACATTTTTATAAATCATATTCAAGTACCGGTATACTAGATTTTTTTTTCATGTAATGTGTGTGCATAGAAGGAGGGGGGGGGGGGGGGCTTATACATGTATGCTAGAGGGTTCGAAATAAATATTTGTGAACACTGGTTCGACGGAATAATGATTTCCAATTTTTACTACTTCGTAAAATGTTTTACTAGACAAGTCCGCATTCTGCCTTATTATTCTGTTAACATCACAACACCCTACGCCTACCTACTTTAATGAGATAAAATTTAATTTCAGCACATAAAATTAAAATAATTCCAATTTAGCGATAGCTACAGTGGAAAAATGGAAGGTACAAAACATGTAATATAATAATTATTTTTGTTAGAATTGAATCATGATCAAAAATACTTGAAGATTAAGTTTAAAAACTAAAGAGTGATTTAACCCCCTCGGCAATGTTAATAAACGCAGCACTTCTCAAGTATTTAAGTAACTTAAAGTGTCAATACTGCTTGTATCTTTAAGAGAGAGAGAGAGGGGGGGAGGGAGAGAGAGAGAAGAAAAATATTTGAGAATGGTGCTACTGCTAATTACCGCTGACCTAGTAAATATAAATATTTTCCGTAAGATTTCTATAATTGCTAGTACATGAATTTTTATTACTAGTCTGATAATTATTTATAAGTCTCGGACTTACAGACATTGGATACTTATGAACCCTGCGTAATCGATCAACCAACCATTCATTTAGAAATAATGTTTTAAGTGACAAAATTAACAAGACATAGTACAAGTTTATATATGGAACACTGTACTGTTCAATAGGGGAACTCCCGTATGAGCAAATAAAACTGGAAATCTTAAACAGGGGTATATAATTATATGTCTTGTACAGATTTCCGAGAACATTAGGAAACTGAATTACCTATCAGTAATTATTCAATATTTAGAAGATATCCTTTTTTAACAAGAGAAATCTGTCCTGTTTATGAAAAGAAAATTGATACAACTTTCCGATCGTGAAAACAAGGGGGGGGGGGGGTTGTCTCAACATTAAAGTCAGATATCTGTCTGCAAAGAAATAAATAGATGAAAACTAACTTGATGATTCATTAATTTTAATTCTTTAATGAAACAGGGATAGATATATTCAATTTTATACTAATCAAGGATATAATTTATTAATAGAAAAGACTCAAGAAACTACATACAGATTTTGAATGACTACTTTTAGCAGGTCCTGTACAAAGAGTCCACATCATGATGGAGCTAAATATAGATAACCTTAAGAAAGTGGTCAAGGATATCCTGGATGAGTGGGCGGGCATCTGTCACCTGTATAGTATTGTTCACGACTTTGCAGAAATGTACACAGGTATGTGACTATGTGTTTTCTTGGAATACTGTAAACCAACTTTTATTCGCGACAACTTTATTTCGCGATTAACCCGGATTAAACTAGTTCGCGTCGATTTATTTTCGCGAGCAAGCCTTTTTTTATCTGTTGTTATAGACATTATGGACTGGTTCACGGCGAGAAATATTCGCGATCACTATGCCCTCGCGAACTTTGCGAAAATTTCTCGCACGCAAATAAAAGTTGGTTTACAGTAAGTACTAGACAAAATTAGTAGAGAATTCAATCACCAATGATTTTGCAATCGAGATGTGATTTTTGAAGTATCACAATTAATGATGGAATCTGTAGTTCTTCTTTATAAAGTTTGCTTTCTTAAATATGATTACTATATTAAATTTCATATCACTTTATTTCAGATGTGAGGACAGAGCTTGGATCAACAGTAGATATATATTCCTATGATTATCGTAAACTGTCAATGTTATACGGCCCAAACAGAACTAGTCTGGTAAATAGTCTTACAGTAAAAACTTAAATCATAATGTAAATCTTGATTTCGAATGACTTGTTAAACTTTTGTAATAAATATACAAAACTAAACCTTTTTAACTTTTTAACATATTAAAAAAGCTTGAAACAAGGATTTCTTTATCATCTAGATTGCCACTATGTATTTGTTCCAATTGTTTACACTTTGTATTTGTAGATAAACATACAGTGGAAGGGTGATGCCAAGCAGTTTAATGTGACCCTGGGTACTGTGGGTAGTTCTACGACAGTCAATCCTCACACCATACTTCTGTCTCAGTTCCAGAGGGAGCTCAACCACACTCGCTCCCTGGCACAGATATGTCAGGTAAGACACCCTCGCCCCCATGCCTCTGAGCAAACACTTTTTACCTCACCCATTTCACACGTGCACACAATCACCACATCATCAAGACTGATACTTTCTACTGACATATGAAAATCTCACTTCTTCAGTGGCTCAACCTTTTTTCTCACTCTGACTCATACTTCGGTGACTAATATCATTTAGTCCATATATACACAACACTGGAAGAAGGAACACACAATGTTCACAAGGAAGAACTCCTGATGTATAAAGACTCCTTCAGCCCTCCAACTCACATTATATGCTAGAATCATTTAGCTATCACACAACAATATGTCAATTAATACCAAGGCATCTACATGTGTTCATGTATTACTACTCGGCCCATTTCTTCAGTCACGGACAAGGATTTCAAGGTAAAGAGTAACCTGACTTATTTCTACATACCTGTACTTGTAGGTTCTCCATGAGACATGGGCCCCGATGTCCTCCATCAATAAACTGAGTATGTCCCTGGTACAGGCTGCTGCTACTGTAAGTTATGAAGCACTGAAACTTCTAATAAATTGTAGGTCAGACATCAATTAGTCTGTTACTTTAACAAACTTTTCCAGTATTTTCATTCCTTCAGGTTTTAGTCACAAAGCTTTCAAAATTATTATAACTGTATACTGATGCATTGGAACCTCTCAAACATGCAGACCTTTGTGTTTATTTAACAGAACGTGAAGCAGCCGATGCAGAGTTTTACAGTGATTCCACAGTCTACCACTCACGTACGAATAGCATTCAGGAATATGTATCCTTATATGTACAATCATGTGATGTACAAAAAATGTAGTTTATGCCCAGGGAGTGTTCTACTGCAGTTCAGTACAATAAAGATCTAATTTGAAGCTGTCTGTGGAATTATCATAAATATTTTAATGTAAATTGTTCTTTTTGTTTAACTTTCTTTAACACCTGTCAGATCTTGTATTGACGTCCATTTCCGTAGTAACAAGATTGTTTCCGTTAGAGAGAGAGAGAGAGAGAGGGGGGGGGGGGGGGGGGGGGGGGGGGGGAGAGAGAGAGAGAGAGAGAGAGAGAGAGAGAGAGAGAGAGAGAGAGAGAGATGGGGCTTACAGTTTGTTTGACAACAGCAAGGCAGTGGATGGATTCAGTCCCACATCTATGTTCAAGGTCAGTAGTCTATGTTCAAGTTCAAGGTCAGTCACTTTTATGCCTTTATGTTAAATAAGAATTCCCAAAATTAAATAAGTGATTGTCTGCTGTGTGAATTATTAAGTGAACTGTATTGAAGATCTGCTTAATATTTGATTAGACTGAAGGTAACCTAACATGGGATTATTTAAATATATATGTACTGTAGTCTTCGTATGTAGTGTTTTAAACCAGTTACAACACCTTATAATCATACACCTTTGTTGTATTTTTCAGCATTTCCTGAACAAGTATGTAGACGATGCTATAACAGGCAGACACACCCACCGTATGTCAACCACTGAGGATGATAATCCGCCGTCCCCCATGGACTCTATAGACATCTTTAGTCTCTCCTCCCAGCCCCCCTCTACCGGCTCCCCGGCATCCAGACAGAGGGAGACAGGCCTCAGGTTCCCCATGACCCCACCCTCCAACCCCCACACACCGGCCTCACCCAGCGCCGCCAGGATATCAGGGGTAAGTGCTTTTAACCTTCATCAGACTGTATTCATGGGAAAAGATAAGAGGATTTACTATAGATGTGAAAATGATGACAAATCTTTTAAAATTGTAAAATTTTCTATTCTTATAAATTATCACAGACTTGTTTAGCAACACTTTTATATTCAACAAATGAAAGCATCAAAGTTTCACCCGTCGTATTCCAAAATATCAAAATCATCAAACTTTAAACACTCTGATAAAACATTTTTTTTTTAAATGCTTGAGAACTTGCTAGTACATGTAAATACAGGGTGTTTCACAATATATGTCACACATTTAAATGGGCATACTCTGAATATCGAACATGATACTAAAAATATTAAAGCACTAAAGTTATGTACATTGATCTAAAATTATTATGTTGCAAAATATCAAGAAAATTATAATAAACCAGGAAGTACATGATGATATAATCAGTGATGTCATAATTTTAGCTATTCTCAAAATTGCGTAAAACTTGCAGCAAAAATTTGTTGTAATTTTTTATTGTAAGAACCGTTTACGATATTTTATATATTTTACAGGGGGTGATGATAAAAAATATATAGACCAGAAATTACTGTCTTCTTTTCTTCTATTAAGAATAATTAGAGGGTTTAAATTAAATTATAATGTAAAGATGAAAGACAGTTAAACCTTGCCTCTTCTTCTACCAACCCTACCTCACCTCCAAAATATCAAGAAGAGATGAGAACAATATCAGAGTGAAGTCAATCATTTAGAAAACCTCTTGAAAGTCAGATCTGAGTTTAAGAAGATTGGTTGTAATAATGCCAGTAAATGTATCAAGAGTATTTCGAAATCTTAAATTTGAGTTAGGATGTCTGCATACAAGATTTCAACGTTGAAAGTCAAATGACATTCAGAGCCGGGGTAAATGTTTGCAAGGTTGACTTAAAGGAAGAGTGAAAGAAGAGGACACCAATTAACACATACTGGTGGTTCTGAAACGAATTATTTATTTAAATGCAACTTTAAATTAAAAATAGATATGCACTTTGGGGTTTTAAAAAGCCAGATACGAGTATAAAACAATAAATGTCTCAGAAATCTGGGGAAACTTACAAAACAGTGATCAGAAATTTATAAACATTAGTCTCTTCAGTTATTAAGGACAATTTTGGGAAAACACTTCGAGAATAAGATTTTAGGATTTGTTGCCATAGTAAATGAGGCGGTGGATTTTGGATAGTTCTGACTAAAAAAAAATAATTTTGAATATATACCGATTAAAATGATATATAAAAAGTGTATGTAGCTTTTGTTGTTATTTATCTATCTGTCTTTAGATGTGTGACATATATTGTGAAACACCCTGTACATTTTAATTGTAGAATTCAATATATATTTAACCAAGCGATTTTTTCTAAGATTTAATATAAACGACTGTCTTTGTTACAGGTGACCCCCTCCCCCTCCACTGCTCTGATTGGCACCCCCTCCCCCAGTACCCTGCTCAATGTGGGGTCCCCCGGGAACCCCCAGCTTCATGTCCCCTCCCCAGGGTCCAGTGCGTTCGTCCCTGCCCCCTCCCCACAGTCCCTGGGGATACACATGCAGAGTCCAGCCTCAGGATTCATGGGACCACAAGGTAAGGACTGAATGATTTTATACTCAGGTGTTTATCACATGTATTTCATTAACTTGAAGGTACTCCTAATAATCTATATACTTTTATCAAATTTTGCAAGAATTTAATGAAAAATAGCATCCTAAACTATATTCTCAGAGGTTGAGCATAAAACTCGTTGAAGTAAATATCCGATTATCTGTGTCAGTTTTAAATGTAATTATCTGTATCAGGTTTAGATGTACCTTCACCAATGCTAGTCTTTGTAACAGTTACTATACCTTATAATTATCTTTGTCAGGTTTAGATGTGGGGTCGCCCTTCACCAGTGCTAGTCTTGCCATGCCGTCCCCGGTACAGAGGAACTGGCCTAACTCCCCCTCAGTGTCTGGCCCCTCCCCCGCCTCTAGACACACCGCCCACTCCCCAGGGAACCCAGCTCTACACTCCCCCCAGACACAGGTTAAGGATGGGGACCACAGCAAGTCGACAGGTGAGAGTTGAATTAAAATTTACAGGCAAGATATCATATAGGTCATGATATTTAAGTGTTGCTGCAGCAAATTTACAGGGATGACATTATAGCATATCTACATGTAAGGGATAAATGTCACAGGTTGGTAAGAGGTCAAGGTCACAAGAAATCAACAACTAGGTATGGTATATGTCTTCTGGAAACATCAGAGACCATAGAAAATCTACAGGACAGGTCTTGGCAAGAATATTTGTTTTAGTTTATCAGGTTATAGAGAACAGAGGAAAGAAAGTGGTCTTAATTAAATGCATAGAGCAACAGTGCTAGAAAATCAAATTATAATATTTTCTTTGTTAAAATCAGCTGAAAAGATAACTTGTACTTAGTAGATCATTGTTATTTAAATCATGGAAGTTTTCAAACAAAGAGATAGGAATACTCACATGTAATATAGAAAAAATAAAAGTGATTTCTTCTAAAAATTATTTTACTTTTAATATGGAATATTTTCAGAGTTTCTCCCTAAACATTTGGGGAATTTTAGAGATGAGATTAATTCTTGTAAGTTTGTAAAACTATTAAAATCTTTGACAGTGAGATTAATTTTAAACCTGCATCAAATCTTTACTTCTCAATCTGGCTTGGTAAAAGGTGTTCTGTCATCAGATTTCTGAATATCAAACTACAAGCTACTGTAGCACTAATCAAACTCAGTCTCTTGTTTCTTGTATATATCCTTAAAAGTATTGTGAACATGGGTAACAAACATTGGTCATATCTTACAATTAAGTTCTGAAGCGAAATAATCGCATGTACAAAAAACCTACTTTCAGACTTTCTACCATAAATCTGGGTTTCATTTTTCCTTCAGTGCATTTAATTTGCTATGTAAATGCAATTGCATTATAATTGTTGTAATTTCTAATTAAATCAATTTCAGTTCTTGAATTTAGAATATGATTGCATATAATTATCATCAATAGTTAAACATGTAATGTTCCTTTACAGTGCTGAGTCACACCACCAGAATGCTTCCACAGCGAGCTTGGGCGGCCTCCATCCCCACCCTGCTATCCCATGATGCCTTTGACACGCTCCTGACCCCCAACAGATCTCAGTCCCTCCCCTACACTATATCGTCCTCCCCCCTGGAGAGATTCCTGGGGAGTGTGTACTTAAGGAGGAACCTACCCAGGCTGATCCAGTCTGAATCTGTAAGTCAGCAGAAATAGGGCCACAAATTCTGAGTTATAGACACTTATGTTAAGATCACTCCATAAAAGGAATAAGAGTAAAATTAGTGGAAGACACTTATGTTGATTTCACTGTGTAAAGGGGAATAAGAGGAAAACAAACATTGCATCATTTGTTTGACAATCCTATTTATAGCTAGGTTTATTATTCATACTGATTTTGACAGTGTATCCTATTTTTGTTTATTACTACTTTATAAGCTTCAAGCAGGTTAATATTCCATTATCCAGCATGCTAGTGGTTAAATGGTGCCGCGTAACCTCTAGCATCCATTGTAAAAATTCTGCTGAAACCCCAAGTGGAAAAAAAATATTTTATTAAGAAATAAGGCTTTGTATTTTAACAGATGGTACGAAATGATAAAATATTCAATATTTACGATAAAACTTATGCATTAACATAAGCATTAACAGGTTAACCTTTCGTATTAGCAATAAATCCATTATTTTTTAAAATCGAAAAAGAAATTGAAACAACTCTGACAAGCAATCTGCAAAATTAATGTGAAGCCAAATCAAAAGTACCCACCCGCATTGGACAAATTGGAATATGACAATTTTCATTAATTTACATTACAACGTCACATGGATTTTATTATTTCTTGTCATGTCTGAAAATTACTTGTGTGTTGTAATGTTCCACCCATTAGAAAATGGCTTTGGATTCGAGGTATATAAGGAGCGAAGGGACGTTAACCGAGGCTCTTACTTGTAGGAGTAATATTCCATCAACTTATCGTGGTATTTGTGTTGTTGTTTTGTAGCTGACCCCGATGCGCTCCACTGATCCCAACATAATCTCATTTAAAGTAGAGACATTACAGTTCCACGTCAGCTTCAGTAACAACTTACAGAGTCTTCATATGAACGTCCAGTCAGTACCAGGTAATATCAACTAATTTGACAACGGGCCCATCAAGTGCAAGGAAAACAAAAAAAATTGTGTTTTTTTTTACCTAAGCTGCTCATGTGACTGATGGTCATTTTCATCTATGAATTTGTTGAAGCAACTTCAACCACTGTTTAATATAAAAATCTAGGGATGAAGGACACTTGAGCTTCATATATGAGAGTCCTACTGTTATTTTGAAACATCTTGGAACCGAGTTTAAGTTATAAAGTGCTATTTTTTAATATAATTCATTTTTATTTGTTAATTTTGATGTATTACATTATTTTTCATAACTGACCTTAATTTTTTTTTAGAACACAGAGACCAATGGAGTATGGAAGTCCTTAACATCATCCAGCAGTACTTTGATTCCAAGGTAAATACATCATACTGATATCAGTTTGTGCATATATATTCTGACTCAGTATGTACATGTAGTTTACTTCTTACATGTATCTCACTGAGTTTGGCGGGTTTTTGTTTATCAAAATATATTTATGAAACACATTAGATGAAAGTGCCTTTGTGAGAATTTTAAGTCAAAATGTTTTGTTTGTCAGATTACCTTGATTGTGACTGTCAATTTTTTGGCCAGCAATGGATCTTTAACTATTTTCATTGTAACTTGTTTAGGTTACCTTACTTATATATGACTATACAAAGAAGTAACTCATTTGAGATGCCTATCAATTTTGTAAAAAAACATCAATATGTTGAGTTTTCTGCTGATTAAAGATGATGCCTCAAAGTAAATATATGTGTTCTTTTAAAAAACTCAGACTTAATTGAGACTGGAACTGGTATTATGATGATTTTTTCTGTTTTGAACAAGTCAGGGGTCAAAAATTAATTTTGCCAACACTTCACTAATTTTCTTATAATCATTGGACATTACTGTACAATCGTAAGTCTATTTTTTTTACAAACTGTATATTTTTGTGCAAGAGTTTTAAAGTGAGGTGGGTTAAGGAGAAATAACAGAAATAAGTTATGATTTGTGGAATTCCATGCAGATTGGTGTCTAACTGTCATAAACCATCTAACCAGTTTGATGGCTCACAGCATGAATAAAGCTACAGATGCCAGTAGCCAAGAACAAACAGATCAAGATGTTACTCAAGAAAAGCATAATCAAGAGAATGTTTCAAAATGTACACATTTAATAAGTTAAACAAATCATTTGAAAAATAACTTGTTTCCATGATGCCCTTGACTGTTCATTAATAATATCGAAAGTGTTTGTGATATTTGCATTTAAGTTTATTCTCTTTAAATAAACCTGAAAATAAATGTTGATATTGGTTTTTGTATTTTTCATACTCTAAGTTTGCCCAAGACAAATATATAAAATCCAGAAAGAATGAAGATTTTTTTCAGTGACTAGATACATCTAAGAAATAAATTGACAAAAATTATAAATACAAATGTATTTATATCATTATATGTCATTATCTGAGTATTTCGGAAATAAAAGGTTTTTCCAGGGTGAACGTGTACGCAAGACAATGTGTTCGCAAAAATATAAATAATCTTGATTTATATAATAGTAAAATTCCTTAAGATTATATAGGGCAAAAACCGAAATTCGTGAAAAATTTTGTCTTGCTAATCTAAGAAAAGACAATGATAATCATTTCAAAAAAATAACATGTTGACCTAAAATTTCAGAAGATCTTCAGTAATTAAAACTGTAATTTTGTATTATCAAAAATTTTTATCGAAAATCCGGGTTTCACTACCCATTTTAGTCACACTCGATGAATGTCTGTTTACCAGGAGCATATCAGATGAAAGTGATTGTAATCGTACCTGACCGTGTCAGCTCCAGAATTTGTATGACATCAGCGCCAACACCATGAACTTTAACACATGTTGCCTGTTTCTGTCTAGGTTGCCTGTCCTCCGTACAAAGTGAACGCCGCTTAGAGGCCGTGTCACAGCTCCTATCAGAATCTTCAAAGACTGTGTTCAACTCAGAGATTGGAACTGGTATTATGATGTTTTCTGTTTACTGTAGGAAAAAGGCGGTACAGCACATCATATATATCACTGTGACAAATATCTGAAAATAATATTTATTTTGTAATACAGTCATAGAAGAGGGTTTGTACTTTATTTTACCTGTTGTAGATTCTAACCACGCAGTGGTATGAGTGCAGAGTGTCTAACAGTACCACCACCGGCGTTTGTGGCTCCACATCATGACTAATCTTAATCTATAACACATTAAAGATGTTCACATGGTAAGTTAACAGAATGTTTTAACCATGCAAATGAGTTCCTGTTTGTCCGATGGAACTCTTTGTACCGAACATACACAATTTGAATGATTATATTTTTAATAAACATGAAATGATTTGATATGCTTGTGCAGCTCAAAATATTATAAGCCTTACATACATCGTCCCCCTCCTGTACGACATCAGCGCCAAAATTTCACAGATTCTAGAAAACTTACTTGCTTAGAGTGCTAAGTGAAGGCTGTTCCCTGCTGTAGAATGAAACAAACACTTATAACAAAGCCTACATGGCTGTTTCACAGCTCCTCAACTTTACCATGCCCAGAGTGCCGAGTGTTATCCAGGTACAACACATCATGTTAACCTTAATCTATTTCATCATACAGTGTCACACAGGAGTGTACAATCACAGCTCAAACAATACCACAACAGCTAGTGTACAACACATGGTTATGTAATAACACACAGCTGCATTACAGAACTTCTACCATACCCTGCTTATTGTACAAAACACAATGAGAAATCTGAACTATAATGCTGTTTTATAGGCCTTATACACAAAATTTAATAAAATCATAATTGCTCAGAGTGCTTAGTGAAGGCTGTTCCCTGCTGTATTAATGCAACAAACTAGTAATCTGTTATCTTTTCAGATATCCAAAATCATAATTTGCTGCTTTAATGGCTTTGTTTTATATTGCAAGGAAGCCATTAAATGTACAAAGCAGTTATTGCTTATTCTAAATTATTTTTGAAAGCAATGAGCAGTGTTGATAATTTGATAAGACTAAATATTTCTGCATTTAATTGAATTAAATGTTAAGCTGTTTTATTTGGTAGGAACATTGAAATTTTTGTTGAGCAATTATTTCTTTTAGATGTGAACTAAAAAATATATGATGATGTACATTAATTCATACTAATTGTTTGAATAAAAAATATACTGATGCTTATAGCTGTCCATTTATTGTCTTTACTCATGTTTTATTAAAAAATGTGTAAATATGTACACAGTTAAAATGTCACAGGCTTATTTAATTTCAGAAAAAAATTTACAATGGTTATCCCAAAAATTATGTAATCCAACAGGTTGAAAGAAATTTTGTTTCTGCAGAATAGTGACCCAGTAGGAAAGTAGGTTTATAGTTTACATCCTTGGTGGAATAGCCAGCTTGAGTGAGCTGTAAGGAGTTGGTCCTTACATGGCGAGTTTGAATCCTGCTGTGGGACGTGGAGACTGGTCATTTGAATAAGATCATATAAACAGAGTTCACATGTCGCAGTAGGTGCTGACATGAAAAAGATCCCTCCCTGCTTAATGGTAAAACACAATTGTCAATGTGTTTGAATTAAAAGACTTTTGTAGGTTTATAGTTTTATTGTAAAGTAACAGCAAAAACAATGGTGAATGAAAAGGTTGGCAGGGATGCTCACTCCTCCATGGCACCTGATCCCACCTCTGATGTTTTGGGGGTCCATGTTTGCTCTGCTCTTGTTTTGTATTGTTTTATGAACTGAGATTGAATACTGTTCGTTATCTCCATATCTCGGAGCCAAGATTGTGAAAGCTATTGATACACAACTTTTTATGAGAGGAATCACATATTTGGTCGCAACAAATAGCTAATTGGAGAGTCACTGATATAGTCCGCCCCTCACGAAAGTTCTCTTCCCCATCTCCTTATAGGATACTACAATGTCCTTTATTTATGTGGACAACGGAAAACTTGCACATTCCTTAGTAAATTAGATCGGTGCATCATCCTCAACAGTCTGATAGGAGAGTGTCAAAGTTGGTGAACAACGTATCATAAAAACAAATTGTCCGTTAAGTGAAGACGTTTCCCTTATTATAATCAACCCTGTAGAGTTTGTAAACAAATTCATAATTAAGGATATAAATGGTCGTTGCTCTATATACTACTAATATCAATTATTATTCCATCAATATTACACTGAACAAAATTTATACATCAATAAAGATTATAATTTATTTGCTTATTAAGTTACAATGGCCCTGAGCGCCGAGTATAGGATAACAATTTGCAGCTATCTACCGGAAAGTCTCCATATGAGTGACGAATTCTTCAGACCGACGTTAGGGTCAAGATCTAGTAAATGTCTTTAGACTAACTTTTTGGTGCTAAATCCATTATGACGTCATAATCACTTTCAACTTTCTTTTTCCCGTACTTTACGGCTCTTATAGAATTATGTAGAAAATAAAGTATTTTCAGGGAATTCAATTTGAAATTACATGAAAAAATGTCCCGATACCTATATTAAAATTGACATTATTCTAAAGAAGAGGCCAAGAACATACAAATTACCGTTTTCTGAGAGACTGTAGGCTATCTGGATACATTGTCTTTGATATGGGAAAAAGTCCCATATTCGTGACGGGAATTCTTAATTTTCTATTGAAAATGACAGTTTAAATCATGATTTTTCATCTTGTTTACCTAAAAATTATGCCCCGAAACACCCCATTTGAACAAGCTTAACTTATAAGGCATCATCAAAGGAATTGGCGTCGGTAGTCTAGTGGTTAAGGTGCCGGACTCCAAACCTAAAGGTTGTGAGTTCGAATCCTGGCCACGGCAAGTCGACGTTGTGTCCTTGGGAAAGGCACTTAACACGAATTTCCTCACTCCACCCAAGTGTAAAAGGGGTACCTGGCTATAGACAGTGAAAGATATTGTCAGACTGTTAGTGTTCTAGCGCTGATAATGGCAGCTTGCACTGAGAAAGATTCTGGTTTGTTTAGGTCTGCTGGGGTAATAATGATTGTAAAGCGCTTTGAGTAGCATTTATGCTAGAAAGCGCTATATAAATCCAATCATTATTATTATTATAATTTATTTCTAAAATTTGAAGAATCTGTTGGCACCATTTAATTACTAGATCTTGACCTTAAACAATATACAATCAATCAATCAAATTGAGTGCAAATAACAGCTTTTTTAATTACTATTACCATAAGTCTTTGAAATAAACCTTAACTATCAAGACTAGCAGGAAGAAAGAGCTTCTGTTATGCATAAAAAATTGTTACTCACATGATTTCTGCTGTATTTTAAAAACGATGATTTTTTCAAAGTTCTGACACCACATGCATTCATAGAATATTTTTTGTAACCGCTTCATACCATAAATATTATTTTTATCTTGTGAAGCCTTAATTGGTTACAAAAAGTACCCCAAAAATACGTAAAGAGATGGTAACAGGGATGGGGTTATTGAAAAAAGTAATTGTAATTGAATGTAATAATTACATTTTTGGAAATAATTTGTAATTAAACATCTTTCTAATTACTTTAATTCAATTTAATTAATCACTCGGAAAAAATACCATGTAATTTCAATTATACTTTTTCAATTTCAGTCAATTACGGTACGTAATACATATTCATGATGTATTGTTCACTTCTGACTCCCCATTTTGCTGTCTTTTCGTTTATTTATACAACATATCCTCAAACCTTGAATAATACAAAATCTTAAGTTAATGTTTACAAGCAAATAAAGGATTGACTTAAGAATAATAATAATCTAGATTACGCCATTCAACTCTCATTAAAAAAAAAAACAATTTGTACGTCAAGTGCGGTATTACGACTTAAGAACCCTCTCTACACTACACACTAAAGAGTTTTTATTCTAAGGTATTTTTCTGAAGTTAGAGTGATCTGCCCTTAGATCTAAATTCTAAAAAATTGAAATTTACAATACATCATTTAATTTGTAATTAATTTTAGTAATCTTAACATTTTAAAAAGCCAAGATAAATTAATTGAACATGTTATTTGCATGTATTTTCTCTATTGAAGTAATTAACAGTGATTTCTATTCAGTGATACTGTGTTGTGTTTGAACATTTTTCCCGGGGGTAAATGCCACGCACCATACATTGAAAATTACATAAATAACCTCAATATTAACTCCTTTATACAATATAATTTTCTCAAAGTCAAAAAAAAATTGGCACTTGTGTAGAAGGTCCTTAACAATGGAGATACATGTGTATTATTGCTCATCTATGACAGTTTTTGGGAAAATGAACAGTCTTACTATATAATTGGAAATTTTTTAAAGGATAATTTATTTTGAAATGCAAATATGAATGCAGATGATTAGAGCAGGTTGACCGTGTGAGAAGACAGAGCTTATGAAAATATTTTACATTTCTGGTACTTATCAAAATCATCTGTCCGGTAGATCACGATAGGTTGTATGTACTGGATTGATCCCTGTTCATTATCTTCGCCCAATAAATGTACTTCATAAGAATCCTTACCAACAAAGATAAATAGCAGGTTCCAGCAGATGTTCAACCAAACCTCTTTTTCACTCCTTACTTAGCTATTACATGTAACAACAGTGAAGGAGAAACTTCCAAAGTACTGTGCAACAATATATTCAAGAAATGGTGTGAATCAGATGTGGATACTTAATCACAATATTTTACAAAAATCAACAAATTAAAATCTTATGACTTTTCAGCTTGATCATTTCCCGACGATAAAGTAAAGTCCAGGCATTTTGATATTATTAACAACTGCCACTTTTTTTTTCAATAAAAATGGAGCTCGTAAATTTCCTTACTTGTCATTAGTCATTTGCAAAATTACTTTGTTAAGAACATTCAGCTTGTACACACAAGAACCCTGAAGTTGATAAAAAAGA